GTCCACAAAGGACGAAACAGTTGTCCGCAGATTGAGTATTGATAACGTCCAGTTTCTAGGTGGCAAAAACTGGCGATTGGCCGCGACGATCGTGGCCAAATACGTCCACAGGCACTCGTGAAACGCGGTGAGGAACAGTGGAACACAGACCATTCATGAACACTGTCCAGGTCTCAACTCAAGTGCTACCGTCATGCAGCCTACGAAGCGCAGTTCTGGGTTCGGATTCAAATAAATGCTAGTGCGCCAGAAGAGCAACATATGAGGGGCTACGGAGTTGGAACGTCGCCGGAGCTGGACTGACTGCAACTGTATCGGGCAGCAGGAAATCGAAGTCCACGAACTCGCCTCTCTGGACGCGATCGAGAAGGGCCCGTATAGGACAGTCAGGTTCACCTGCTGTTGGTGCTGCATGCGCATATGGCGGTCGTCACTGCACCGGGCTCCCAGTAGGGTCCGGCCTGCTGGCGGCGAGCGGCGATACGGATCCAAGTAGAGCGAGGAGAAGCTGGGTGGCGTTGGTGACGGCAGTGGACAACTCCCGTTGTTACTTCCAACAGAAAATCAAAGTCCACGAACTCGCCTCTCTGGATACGAATTACGATCGTCAGGCTCGCGCCTGCTGTTGCAGTGGTGGTGCTGCGTGGCGGCCGTCGCTGCGTTCGCAGTAGGCGGGCGGCGGAGCCAGGTAGAGCGAGGCGATCCGGAGAGGCTGGACGCTGGTTGGTGACGACGACATTGTTTCAAGGCACAAACAAGGGTCGCTGAGATCGCGTGGAGGTACTTCATTTCAGGAAACCTGATGATGGCGCAAGCTAAAAAATCACAGTCGACGTTCCACTGTAGACGACGGCATTGTTTCAGGCACCAACAGGCACCAACAGGCGTCAATGAAGTCTGAATTGAAACGCAGAGATACGAGAATGCAAGCTTGAAAGTCTAACGAAAAGAAATTGTTTCGGGAACACCTGTTCCGCAAGTTGCACGCTCGAAAGTCCAAACAGCAATGACATGAAAGAGACATTGTACAGGATATTGAAGGGCGCGTGCCCACGTGACTCGCCCATGCGTACAGGTTGGGCCAGCTCGCTGGGCTGGCTGCTAACTCGCGTTAGCATGCTAACGCTCATTTTGACTGATTCGCTAAATTGTACCAGTATTTATTTACTACTAATACTAGTACTAGTATTTGGCACGTTGTGTGGATGTTGTTGTGAGTTCACACTGTCACTGTGCAACTGTACACCATGTACACTGTTGTAGTCTAGTGTAGACCGAGGCTGTGGTGCTACCGGTAGTACTACTACTACAATGTACATGTACTATGATGTAGTACTGCATTGTACTCACGGATCACCAGTGCAATACTAATGTCTCAACGGATTAGCGACTTGAAGCTTTAGCGAAAATGAGTCGATCGCTAAATTCTCTAGGGTTTTCACCTTGTACTGCATGGATGTTTTAGTGTAAGTAGACCTGAGGCTGCTAAAACAGAGAGGTTCCAGGCAGAAATCATCATTCCGCCACAGACAACACGAGAAGGACACTCTCCTATCGCAGTACGTCTGCGCCAAGAAGGATGAAGGGAAGGCATGCACCATTCAATGGGCAGTCCACCGCAAAGCAGTGGCCTACAGCAACAACAGCAAAAGGTGCAACTAAGAGTTCATAACCCCAAGACTGTGCAACTCCTGACCAGTCCCTGTATGGAAGTCCGCTCGGCGGAATTCCTTCTGTACGTCATTTTTGGTGCAGTGCGATGAGTCTTGCCTATGAATTCTTCTAAAATTTGCAGTCGAAACAGGATGCTTCCTCAGGTTAAACTGCCTAAACTGTGATTTGATGTGAAGTAAAACAAAGCGCGCGATCCTCAAATAACTAAAAGACAAAACTGTTTTTTTCCGACGCCAATGCCCGGAACGGCGACTCTTCATCACCTTGTGCTTTCGCCAGTGCAGTGCGCCCATCCAGTCTCCTTGAAACTAATTTTCCCCTTGAACTCAGCATATGTCCGTGCTTTCCTCGAAGATAATTTCAAATGATTGAGGGAATTGAGAATGCGTCGAAGGAGCATTTCTCGGCTGAGTTTCAAAGCTATCAGAATGTTTATCCTCGACGGCAATGCAATATTTTTGCCTCGCCAGTTGGCAAAAGCTACACTTCAAGTCTTCGTCCTCACTTCTTCCTGTCATTGATGTCCAGAGAGTCTTGGAGAAAGGGTTGGTTTCTGAGAAAGTACAACTTGTACGTCTGAAAGGTCTTCAAAACGCTTCGAAATGATGGGGCTACAGCCTTGATTTAGCAGCGGTTCCGGGTATGGTTTCCAGAAATCGCAAAAAGCCCAAATTTAAATCCGAGGACAAGTTGCGCATGACGTAATGTAGGAATTTCACCGTGCGCTGGGGGATTGCCAGTTGCACACTCTTAGGGGTTATGAACTTTTGATGCAACTTATGCCTGGCAGAAAAAAATGGCCATTGCGCAAACACCCAAGCACATCTGTGTCCAAAAGAAGAGTGACCTTTTGTCAAAGTGTCGCCACGAGAATTATCTGATTTCTTGCTGATCACTGACTCCTTCTTTCCCACCTTCTTGAGCTGTTCTCGATCAGAGTGAGACATGTTGGGAGATGATACAGGTGAGGTTTTGTACAGGCCATTGCTTCACGTTTGAAGCTCGCGAGATTGAATTCTTCATCCTTTCACTGCTTAGGGCCTTTTTGGAAGCCGTGTGCTTTAAGACACCAGGTCTTGGGGTCACATTTGCCGGGACCAGCGTTGGCAACATCAAGGTGATTGTTCGTTGACAACGAGGGGAGTACGCCTTTCTCAATTCCCACCTCCACATCCTCCACAATACTCTGGTTGGCTTTGCTAGATGACGGAACGAAGCCCGGTCCATGCCTAAGGAGATCCAGCGCCACAGCTGAGACACGATTGCCTAAGTCAAGGACACATTGTGAGCGACCCTGTGCCTTGAGATTGTTGTGATTATCTGGCACAAGGTGACTGGAGGGGTGTGCGAACGTTGTGCACCATAGACTCTGTACTTTACGAAAGAGCAGCCGTCGGGTGTCAAGTCGCTCGCATGGCAAAAAGTTCGATGCACAAGTCGTGCAGCCAAATATAGTCCTGCTTGGAGTGTGGGCATATCTCGGCTCTATGCGACGTGAACTGTCCATAGCGGTGTGCCTTCCACTAAAACTTCTCTTGGATGGCATCTTTCAAAAGGCTCCGAATATAGACATCACTGCTGAACCATCAATACTAATGATGATACGATATCAGCTTGGCTGCAGGAAGAATGTTAAAACAGATAAGGCGAGTTGCCTGCAAACAAATTACAGTAAAACCTGTGACTACCGACCACCCCTTGGTGCCAGCAAAAGCGGTCTTTAGTAGCAGGTGGTCTTTAGTTAGAGGTTTGCACCGTACGACCATAATTATATGGATCCAATCATATGATATGTATATCAAAATGCAGCTAATACAATTCCCCAGGACTTGCGCAATGCCATTCTTAATTCAGGTCAAACAACACTTGGAGAGAAAGACGGAGAGATGGAGAGAGACAGAAAGAGAGAGAGAGAAGATTAATTTGTTTTGCAGACATCAAATTCAGCTGCTACTTCTGAAGCCAGGAGTCAAACGTTCCCTGTGGAAGTTTCGTTTTGCGCTGAGCTTCGAATTTGTTCATGCGATCAATCGTACCGACTATCCTTGTTGTGACTTCTTGATTGTTTGAACGCGATCCTTCAGCATCAGGACCTCGCGGTGCTGCTTTGTTTCTGGATTCCTTGACGCCATCGTTGATTCCTTTGTATGACTGGGGTGACAGAGCCGCTCAGTCTTCGTTTCTCCTCCGAGTAGTAACATGGAGCAGAGAGCGCTTTCGATGCGCTCTCCAAGACGTTTCCTATCATGTTTATCCTTGACAGCGCTTGAAATTCTGACAGGTGTAGTGCAGTCCACACGGACTCCACAGTCAAAATGGCCTGCGTTCATTTGTTCAGCTGTAGTACCGAAAGATTCCTTTCAGGTCCTTGGAAAATCAGCAAAATTTCAAGAAGGAACTTCGAGAAACATTTGATTTCCTACATCGCGGTCGCTAGCTACGGGTCAAAAATCGTCTTTGGGACAAGAAAAGGCGGTCGCTGGTCGCGTTCAGCAGGTAGTCGCTAGTCACAGTGAATTTTGAATGTGAGACCGTCCGTGCCTGGCCAAGTGGTCTGTAGTACCAGGCTGGTCGCTAGTCACGGTGGTCTTTAGTTACAGGTTTTACTGTAGTACCAGGCTGGTCGCTAGTCACGGTGGTCTTTAGTTACAGGTTTTACTGTAGTACCAGGCTGGTCACTAGTCACGGTGGTCTTTAGTTACAGGTTTTACTGTATGTGTACTGAAGCTGTGTGAGGAGTCTTTCAGGATTTTTTGAAACCATTAGTGGTACTAACTATTCACTGCCTACTGAAAACCGGATAATAGATTGAAAAAATTGAATCTTCTGCTAACACATTTAATTATTCTCCCTGCGTATGCTTAAACTTTTATTCTGTATGCCTCTTACTTTAGCTGATCATGGAAGGTGGAACGTGCAGGAGTATTTACAGCACTGCTTTCAAACTGCGCCTAAAGCAAGTGATGATTTTGCTTCTCCTCATCAACGTTGTTAAGCCAACAAGAGGGTCAGCATGGACTCACTCCCGGACTACGACAGAGTCGTACACCATTGTTCTTGGTGCAGGTATCATCGCAGCTACTACCAGTTGTCTTGCAAACAGTGAGACTGGAGGGGTCAGTGAAAAAACAACCAATCCACCAGTCAGTATGCCCGACAGTGCACCAACCAGCCCTTCAACCAGCCCACCAACCAGCCCACAAACCAGCCCACCAACCAGCCCACCAACCAGCGCACCAACCAGCCCACCAACCAGCCCACCAACCAGCCCACCAACCAGCCCACAAACCAGCCCACCAACCAGCCCACCAACCAGCGCACCAACCAGCCCACCAACCAGCCCACCAACCAGCCCACCAACCAGCCCACCAACCAGCCCACCAACCAGCCCACCAACCAGCCCACCAACCAGCCCACCAACCAGCCCACCAACCAGCCCACCAGGTCAGTGACTGCTCCAAAGCCGGGTCAGCCGGTTCAGCAACCCGGTGAGGGGGAGGGAGATACTTGGAATCGTTTGGAAAAAGAATACCGGGTCACTTGTGCCCGGTGGGGAGTCATGTTGAGTACTGTTTTTAACTCTTTGCAGGCGGATGACGTGTATACACTTGCCTGAACCCTATGCCGGTTCTCTGATGACGTGTATACACGCGCTTCGGTTTGCGTCGTTTATCGTGGTGAATAGACCGGTGTACAAACTTTCTTTACTCTGTGTAAGAGCAGCTGATCTCCACAAACGACACACCGTTGGAAGGGTATTGAGCCCAGCTTTCCAAAAATATTCTGTTCTTTGCGATAGGATAGATATTGACAGAGGGGCAACAAAATGAACACGGAAATCACGGCATGGAGTGATCGCGAATTTTTTGTTCGTGACTATGCAGTTTGGAGAATGCCAGGGATTTCCCTTTTGCCCAGCGCATGCGTTATGGACATCGAAATAAGCACATGGATCTCAGCTTTGCAAAGCAGTTTGAATCATGAAAATCAGTTGAATTTGAGCAAGGATCCGAAAATGAATGTGTGACTGAGTTGTTGTTTTGTTCCGAGGTGTGGTGGGCCAGTTTGGAGAGGTCGTGAAATTGGCCCTGGTGGGGCTATGGAGCTGAGAACTTCCAGGATGGATATTCTTAGTTCTGATCTTTCCAACAAGCCCAGGATGATGAAATTCCACCCAGGGGAGCTGAAATGAGAACATGTCGTCCTGATCAGTGCTCCCACGCTCCACCAGGAGAGTCCGTGCGCTGGAAAGCAAAGATTACTGGGGGAAACAGGCCAGCATGCAAAGGGTTGAGGGTTGAAACGACTGACCTAAATTCCTTATCGACTAGATTCAATTCTATCGACTGACTATCGACTGGTTATCAACTGACATTGCCATCATACATGAACACAAATACAGCAAATTTACGCATGTCTTTCATCGTAAGCAATTACGGAACTTGATAGGCGTGACATACCCCAACATCATGTCCAATGAGCAGCTATATATTATAAAGATGCACTGAGGAGCCGATATCCGCAACCGTGGAGAATGCCCATTTGCGCATGCTTGGCCATGCTCTCCCTCTCCCGGATTATGCACCTGCGAGGCAAGCGATGCATAGATACATCACCATTGGCCAACGCGGAAGGAGATGTGTGGCCTCGAACCACACTGCCGAGTGTTCTGCACAGTGACGTGACTCACAGGAAGGCCCACAGCACGGCATGCATCATCCGCTGGACTGTGAATGGCATACGGCGGAGTTCAAATAGGCCCTCCGGAGTGATGAATGCTGTTTTATGCTGGTCTTTGCCCTCCACTGGCACCTGTCAGTAGCCCTACTGCAGTTCTTATGTGGAGAAGTATTGTGCCCGGGTAGCTCAGTCAGTAGAGCATGACACTCTTCATATTAATCGCAGGGTCATGGATTCGAGCCCCACGTGAATCGCCAAATGTCGTCCACTAAAAAAGGACAAGCTACAGTCCTCTTGCGCGACTGCGCCACACAATAAAAGGCCAACTTGTTTGCTTAGAGAGAATATTCTGATCTTGCTTTCATGAGACTAGGGCACAACTAACATCGAAACAAGACGAGACAGGGGAATATATTATGAAGACATAAGGAAAAGTGCGGCGGTGGATACGAAATTGGTGCCCGAGCGTAATACAACTAGTCCCGAATGGGAAGTGAGGCCAAGACGGCAGACGACCAAATATAACTGAGACAAGACGGCAAACGGACGAATACAACGGGGACAAGACGAGAAAGTGCGCATCCAACGGGGACAAGATGCGACAGTGCGTATACGGAGGGGACAGAAGACGGTGCAGCCGCATGTACACAGCAGTCAAAGACAGCGCAGCAGGGTGTACCGCGGTTCAGCAGCATGTACAACAAAGATACACAAACGCAGCGGCAGGTACGACAAAAATACTTCAAGTACACAAATGCAGCAGCATGTGCGAAAAAGAGCTACATGCGCAGCCGCATGTACAACGAAGAGCTACAAGCCCAGCCACATGTACAACACTAATGCGCAATAGCATCATCCTCCCATTCAATAGAACTCCTTGTTGATGCTGCCTTCAAAGTTCAATGCATTGCAACTCACTTGGTTTGTTGACGTGGACCTATTGCATTATAGGAGATTGTGAGCAGTCACCACACACAACTCATGGTGCCTATCTGATTGCTGGTCCTACGACAGAAGGCAGTAGTGAGATGATAGTGTGCTCCAAGGGTAATGACATTAATCCTAACCTTGAAACTCCCAACATCAAATGTCAATCCAATGGTAACTGGACTGTACCCGGTGTAACGCCTAGTCTAAGGCTGCGGTCACACCGAAACCAGCCCCCTTCGGGCTTGTTATCACTGGCGCTCAGCTGGCTTGCGTGTTCCCTGCCGACCGGTCACAACAGATCTTGAGTGGAAAGATCTGTTGGGTCTTTTGCATCTGCGACTGGCTACTGAGTGTTGTGATCAGCAATGTTACCATGGGAGAAAATACGAGCGCAAGGATCTGTTGGGTCGTGTTGTGCCGTGCCGGTGCGAGAACCCTAAGTGCATGGCAAAATAGAACTGTTTCATCCACAATGCAGAATGTCTTGCGGTACATGGCATTGATGACTGAACATCTCGCCAGCTCGCCCAAATGGGGATCATGCCCAAACGGAGGAACAAGACACTCTGAACATGCAGTCTTCTTAACCCTTTGCATGCTGAGCCCCTTTTCTCCAATCCACTGGCTTTCCAGCGCACTGACTCTCTTGGTGGAGTATGCACTCACAGCTCGGAACGAAATTTATTCTCATTTCACTCCACCTTGATGGATTTTCATCGTCCTGGGCTCGTTGGAAAGGTCAGGACCAAGCGAATCCATCCTGGCAGCTCTTAGCTCCATAGACACATCAGGGCCACTTCCACGTCCTCTCCAAACTACTCCACCGTGCCTCGGAACGGCACCACGACTCAATTTCACATTCTTGTTCGGCTTCTTGCCCAAATTCAACAGATTTTCACAATTCAAACTGCGCGGCAAAGCTCAGATCCAAGCGCTTCATTTGATGTCCATCACGCATGCGCCGTGCCAAAGGGAAATCCCCTGGCACGCTCCTCAACAAAAAGAATTCATGAACAAAAAATTCGAGTTCACTCTGGGCCGTGATGTCCGTGTTCATCTTCTCGCCACTCAATGAATTCGTATCCTATCGCGAAGAACTTTATATCCCCGGAAAGATGACGCCAAGACCTTTCCAACGGTGTATTGATTATCGCGGTGCGTTCATGTTTGACGAAGTTACGAAAGTTTGTACACTGGTCTATGCACTGCGATATATCGCGCGAATCTTTTTGCGAGTTAACTTGTACGTAGTGGATCAGGTCATGCATAAAGTGTCACGTTCAAAAACTAGCTCGATCGCGAGTGAGGTTGCCCCTGTGCTCGAACCCAGTATAATAAGGGGATCGGTCTATTGAAACGCCATCTGTCGCCGAGATATTATATTTACAGTCCACATGAAGATGACAACAAAGTGATGTTGCCAACTCACAAACGCTCCTTATTCAGTTTCAGTGACTCACTCCGATAAGCACATTTCTAGGCAAATCTTTGGTGCTATTTTGAGTTTGTGCTGGATTGTTGACCCATGATCCATTTTGTTCCCAAGCTCTTCAAAGTCATGTCACTAGGGAAATGTGTAATCCTGCCACTTATTTCTGAATTTGTGTAAATCTATCCTACTGGACACACAGTGGACTGTGGAGCACCACCAACTAATATTCCTGGTGGTAAATTTCCATCTGGAAGTCTAACAACAGCTGGTACGACCCTCACGATAAAGTGTACTGATGGATATACACCTCAAACTGGCAAATGGCAAATGGACACCTACACTTCATATACCTTGCATTCGTGAGTATTTATAAAGTTTTAATTCCCGTAGCTATGCAGAAGACGTTACTTCAGTAACGTCTGGCGCTAGCCAGGGTCCATACAGCTTTAATTTGGTGTTTGTTTGTTTGTGTGTTTGTGTCACGCCTGGCGCTATCCCGTGTCTGTCCCGTACCGTACCATCAAACGCACCTGGCCACATACAGCTGGCCGCACTATTCAAATAGGGCTTTCAAACGCAAGATCATAACGTGAAGCAACTTGGAAGAATGAGTATGAATGCGAAGTGTATGGGGGAATGCATGTAGGGCGATAGTGCGGGTTCGAATTCCAGGTAATGCCTGAAAAAAAGTAGGAAAATTGAAAATTTATAACATCCCTATTCTTTTTTTCCCGTCAACAAGGCGGTAGATGGTGTCGTATTACCCTCGACCGTACCTGTCCCGTACCTGTTCCGTACCTGTCCCGTACCTGTCCCGTACCTCTCCCGTACATGTCCCGTACCGTACCGTACAATCAAAGACGGCTGGCCAGAATGCATATTCAAAATAGGGCTTTCAAATACAAGATCATAACGTGAAGCAACTTGGAAGAATTAGTATGTATGCGAAGTGTATCGGGGGATGCATGCAGGGCGATAGTGCAGGTTCGCATCCCAGGTTATGTCAAAAAACAAAGAGTAGAAATTTATAAGAATATATAACACCCATTCCCTATGCTTTTTTTTCCTAGGTCATCAAGGCAAAAAAGCATAGCGTAGGGCCCTGAGCTTCCAAGCTCTCTCGTCACAGATACACGATAATTGAATGATATATAAAAATAATAATAAAAATTTGAAACTCGGATGTTGAGCCATAAATAAATGGAAGGCTGTCGGTTAGCGCTACGGAGATGTGTTGAAGCCAGGTGTCAGGACGTCGAATGTTTCAGTACTCTGTCAGTTTTGTGCCTAGTTATTGCACTTTCTGACTGTATATCATGTTACAGTGATGGAGAGTTACTCTTAACTCGTATCCATATGTCTTTTTTCTCTTCCACAATAATATAAATAAAAATAATAATAATAATAATAGTACAGTGGAGATTGGATATAGCGACACTCATTCGGGAGAAAGCAAAATGTCGCTATATTCGATCTGTCACTAAACCCGATCTTCACATTTAGTATGCAATATGTATATCAAAATGACAGAAATGTATTGTAGATATACATGTACATGTGGATAACAGATGTGTATGACTGTACGTATATCTTGCATGCATTGTACAAGGACGGTAAAGTCGCCCTGCACTGTGGCTACAACGTACACTGACACATGATTGAGTGACCCGGAGGTCCGGGCAAGTGGCACAACCATGTACAGTGCGGATCGGCTATAGGGTTGTCGGCTATTGTAATATACCTCTTATAGTGATTGTATTCTCAAATTCATTTTCGTAAACCACCCCAATCTATACATATCGGATCGGCTATAGTAATAATCGGCTATAGTAATATATCGGCTATAATGATACGATTTCTTTGTCAAAATGATTTTATTGCATACATTTTTCATCGGCTAAAGTGATGATCATAAAAAATTATACATCGTACATGGCGCGGCAGTCAGGAGGCGCTGGTACGACTATGATATCCCTCGGAGGAAATTCGAAATGCAGGGGCGTCACAGGGTGGTCGAGAGTGGTACGACGGGGGGTGCGGGGTGTCCCCCGGAGAAAAAATTCGGATTTTTCGGCCAACAGGGCACGTTTTAGCACTCTAGACAGAGAGCTGAGACCGAGTCTCGACTGCTAGACTAGACTAGACCAGACTAGACTAGACTAGACTGAAGTAAAAGAGAGAATGAGAGCTTCTTTTATAGGCTGCTTCAGAGATATATGGCGTGATCATTGCGAGGTAATTCGAGGAAATAGCAGAACAAGTCAAACCGGAATGTGCTCAGCCAGTCAGCAGAAATGCAGAATATACGTACGGTGATCATTCGAGAAGAAAGAGAAAGAAAGACATCGAGAGAAGAAAGACCAAATTGGGACGTGGAGAGCCCGCTCACCCACGTCAGAGTACAATGTGAGTATATGAGGGTCACGTTGGGGAGCCCGCTCACCCAACGTGCCATAGTTCAGTGGCTTCTTATGGTAAGTTCTGCTGCATTCTTGGTCTTGCTTGCTTGATACTCTGACCTCTCGTGCGGTCACTGCGGTGACGGTTTTGGTTCTTGCACACGTCTTGGCTCTGCACTCTTTGCACTTAGCTCGGTTGGTTAGTCTTGGCTCTTTGGACAAAGGACCGAGGCATCGTGGAAACCTGTAGAACGTCGTAGTGACGTGGTTTTGCACAAAGCTTGGAGTCGCATTTCCAGGAAGTGAAGCACTTCCAGGAAACGTACAACGCGAGAACCTACCTGACCAGGTTCCGGCCTTGGATCACATGACGTGTCATGCCAAGAAGGCATGTCACCTACGTGGGAAAGCGCGTGTCGCTCAACCTACACGCTAAGCACTGGGACTAGACACTGGCCAAACCACGTTGTACTAAAAGGGCGTGACAGCTCAGCACAGAGCTGCTCACTACGTAGATCCTGCTGTCACAGGACTATCAGGCAGCAGTTGTCTTATCCTGGGACGTGACAGATGTGATGCATTTTCGCATCAGCTTGCAGTAGATCGTCAGGAGCCAGAGGTACTAGGTAGGTGTCGTTGTGGAAAGAATGTTGTAGCTGACAAGTGACATGCTTGTAGTGTCTCTTGACCGTGCTGATCGCCATTGTAACATGGCAGATCTTGGAAAATTTTAGTTCTGGACCCAGTGATCGCCGCCAGCACTGTTTCCGTCAAGTTTGCAGCGAATGTGTCCGTGAGAAATCCATCATCTGGTTGTCTCTACCCGTGACTCCAACGGCCTATCGCAATGGATAGCCGCCTGGAGTCTTGGGGTGCTAGCTGCTAGGCATCAAGTCTGAACCAAATAATTGTATGCTCCTTGAAATGAAAGTTGTGATGTTTTGTACAAGTCCGGAGATCCTTGAATTTTTTTATTGCTTTTTTGGATGAATTGGGTGGACCATCCTGGACGAAAAGTGGTACGACCATGGTCGTAGTGGTCGTACCGTGCGTGACGCCCCTGCATTTTTTGGCGTTGGCTGTGCTTGTTGTTCCGGGGCATCCTCGAGCGAGAGCGGAGGCAGCAATGAGTACTAGCACTGAAGTGCTACCGTCGTCTCCGCTGAGATGTTGGAGAAGGCATTCAGGTAACAGCGAAGACGATCAGGGACACGGAGAAGCTTCTCCGTGACATACAACATCACGCGTCGATCGACCTGCCACTTGGTATGGTTTCAGCGGTGATGAGTCGAGCGATGGCGACGCAGACTGAGACTCTACTGAGTCTACTCCCACTAATCGATCCTGTACTCTGTAGATATTGTTGATATGTCGATTGAATGTGTTGAAGTGTTTCTCTTCCAAAAGAACACATTTGTTGAGCACAACAACTCCTTGCAAACTCATGTCAAAAAGTCACGAAGTTTTTTTTTCCGCAGGAAGTAGCTCTGCACTGCGCGTACTGCACAGTCACATGCACAGCACGCTTCTGCACGCTTCTGCACGCTGCACTGGTTCGAATGACACCATACACGCATGTGTCAGGCATACCTAAGTATGCAGATCGCCTGTAGTAATATATCGCCTATAGTGATATTTTCACGAAAATCAAACACCAACGCTATAGCCGATCCGTACTGTACCATGTTCCAGACATGCCAGTCTGTCTGATACACGAGGAAAGTCGTTATATCCAATGTATTTTCACTGTTTTTCAGGTCTTCGGGTACCAAAAAAGTGTCAGTAAATTTGATCTGTCGTTAATTTCAAGGTCGTTATACCCGGTTTATAATGTACAGAAAGGACTTGCTAAACGCCTTGGGCAACAGAATTGTGTCGCTAAACTCGATTTGTCGTTATACCCAAGGTCGTTATATCCAATCTCCACTGTAATAATAATAATAATAATAATAATAATAATAATAATAATTTGGAAAGGATGGGAGAACTTCAAATTCAAACTGATCCTTTGAATAATAATAATAATAATTTGAAACTCGGGTATTGAGCCAATAATAAAAGTAGAAAGGAAAAGGACATATGGAAACGAGTTAAGAGTAACTCTCCACCACTGTAACTAGATACTATATACAGTCAGAAAGTGCAACAACTAGGCACAAAACTGACAGAGTACTGAGACGTCCTGACACCTAGCTTCAACACATCTCCGTAGCGCTAACCGACAGCCTTCCAACTTGGAAGGTTCAAGGTTATGGAAAGACCAAAGAGGGGAAGGCAAGCGCAACGAAAACGAGCACAAGCTACAGTCCCAACGGAACAAAGAATGTCGATTGTCACTGGACGATGACGAGACCAGTAGGCGATTTGACAAAGCGGTCTAACTACAATTCTCTTTGGTCTTTCCATAACCTTGAACCTTCCAAGTTATATCCGATGTATTTTCACTGTTTTTCAGGTCTTCGGGTACCAAAAAAGTGTCAGTAAATTTGATCTGTTGTTAATTTCAAGGTCGTTATACCCGGTTTATAATGTACAGAAAGGACTTGCTAAACGCCTTGGGCAACAGAATTGTGTCGCGAAACTCGATTTGTCGTTATACCCAAGGTCGTTATATCCAATCTCCACTGTAATAATAATAATAATAATAATATTAACTGGTTTTGAGGGAAAGAGACAAATGGGAAAAGTCTGAAGAAAAAATTGACTGTCACCACCAGGACTCGAACCAGGGACCCTCACTTGTAGCCAGCGATGCTCTAACCACTGAGCTATGGTGTAGTCGTCATCCAAGCAGAGACCGTTCAATGTTTTCTTCAGACTTCGTAACTCACACTTCCTGTGAATCCACACAGGCGGGTGGGACGCAGCCCTCACTGTACCCACACACTTCACGTACAAACTAGCACGCGGGGAGCCCCAAGTCATAAAATATTAACTGGTTTTGAGGGAAAGAGACAAAT